CAGCTACTCGGGAGGCTGAGGCAGGAGAACGTTGTGAACCCAGGAGGCAGAGCTTGCAGTGAGCCGAGATTGCGCTACTGCACTCCAGCCTGGACAACAGAGCAAGACTCCCTCTCAAAAAAAAAAAAAAGAAAGATGGACATTCATAGGTTAAACAAAAAAGAACCTCAACCTCAAGAGAATGAGAAGACAAACCACAGGAAGGGAGAAATTTTTTGCAAAAGACACACTTTATCCAAAATATACAAAAAACTTGTAAAACTCAACAATAAGAAAACAAACAACCTAACTTTAAAATGGGGCAAAGACCTGAACAGACACCATACCAAAGGAGATATACAGATGGCAAATAAGCATATGAAAAGACGTTCCACATCCTATGAAAAATGCGAATTAAAGCAACAAGATACCACTGTATACCTATTAGAATGACCCAAAATCTGGAATACCGACAACATCAAAGGCTGGGGAGGATATGGAACAGGAACTCTTATTCACAGCTGGTAGGGATGCAAAATGGTACAGCCACTCTGAAAGACTGTTTGGTGGTTTCCTACGAAACTAAACATACTCCTATATGATTCAGTAATCTCGCTCCTTGGTATCTACCCAAAGGAGCTGAAAACACGTCTGCACAAAAACCGGCACACAGACGTTTATAGTAGTTTTATTTATAATTGCCAAAACTTGGAAACAACCAAGATGTTATTCAGTAGATCAATAAACTGGTACATTCAGGCAATGGAAAATTATTCAGTACTAAAAAGCAATGACCAAGTAGTGAAAAAACATGCAAGAACCTTAAATGGACATTACTGAGTGAAAGAAGCCAATGTTAAAAGGCTACATACTGTAGGATCCAACCATATGACATTCTGGAAAAGGCAAAACTCTGTAGACAGTAAAAAGATTAGTGGTTGCCAGGGATTGAGGGGTGTGGGAAGGATGAGTAGGTGGAGCCCAGAGGATTTCTAGGGCAGTGAAACTACCCTGCATGATACTATTCCTTTGTTCAAATCCAGAAAATGCGCAATACCTAAATTGTGTACCTCACACAAAAATTAACTCAAAATAAATCATGCACTCAACTATAAAACGTAAAACTTCAAAACTTTTAGCAAAAACAAAAAAGCAGAAAATCTTCAGAATGTTGGTGTACGCAGAGTTCTTAGATTTGATACCAAAAGCAGCACCCCTAAGAGCAAAAACTGATGAACTGTACCTTATCAAAATTATACTCTTTTGGTCTGTAAAAGATGCTCTCAAGAGGACAAAAAGACACGTTACAGAATGGAAGAAAATATCTGCAAATCATGAGCTGACAAAGGATTAGGATCTAGACTATATAAAGAACTCTGAAAACTCTTTAAAAAATAATAAAAATACTAGGCCAGGTGCAGTGGCTTATGCCTGTAATCCCAGTACTTTGGGAGGCTGAGGTGGGTGGATCACGAGGTCAGGAGTCCAAGACCAGCCTGCCCAACATAGTGAAACCCCGTCTCTACTAAAAACACAAAAAATTAGCCGGGCACGGTGGCACACACCTGTAATCCCAGCAACTCGGGAGGCTGAGGCAGGAGAACTGCTTGAACCCAGGAGACAGAGGTTGCAGTGAGCCGAGATCATGTCGTTGCACTCCAGCCCAGCCGACAGTGCGAGACTCCGTCTCAAAAAACATATATATTAATAATAATAATCTAGCTATAAAATGGGCAAAAGACATAAACCGATTTTTCACCAAAGAGAATATGTAGATGGTAGATAAGCACATGAAAGGTGTTCAACAACTTTATCCATAATCAAAATGTAAATTAAAACCACGTGGAAATATCACAACACCTCTATCAGAATAGCAACACCAAAAAGTGACACCACAAAATGACAGCCAGGGTCCAAAGACCGGATCCCTCATACGTTGCTGGTGGGAATGAAAAATGACTTAGCAACTCTAGAAAAGTTTGTCAGCTCCATATCAAACTAAACATGCAACTCTCATACAACCTGGCAACTGCACACTTGGGTGTTTATCTTAGGGACATGAAAACGTGTGTTCTCAAAAAACACTTGTACACACATGTTCATGGCAGCTTTGTCTGTAAAAGACAAAAACTGGAAACAACCTAAATGAGCTTTAATGGATGAATGGTTCAACAAAACGTACAGTACATCTATTCCTGGAATACTATTCAGCAATAAAGAGGAATGAACTGCTGATACGCACGGTACTTGGAAAAATCTCAAGAGATTTATGCTGAGAGAGAAAAAAAAAAAAGCCAATCCTTAAAGGTCACTTACTGTGTGACTCCATTTATATAACGTTCTTGAAATGACAAAATTACAGAAATAGGGAACAACAGGGAATAGGAATAGCAGTTGCCAGGGGTTAGGGATGAGAGGAGAGAGAGGTGGGCCTGGCTATAGAAGGGCAACAAGAGTAATCCCCTGGTGATGGGCATGCTCTGTTATCTTGCCTGTATCAGTGTCAGTATCCAGGTTATGATATTGCATTATAGTTTGGCAAGATGTTACCCTTGGGGAAAACTAAGTAATGGTACATGGGACCTCTCTTTATTCTTTCTTTCTTTTTGAGACAGGGTCTTGCTCTGTTGCCCAGGCTGGAGTGTAGCAGTGCAAACATGGCTCACTGCAGCCTTGACCCCCCAGGCTTAAGCAATCCTCCCACCTCAGCATCCTGAGTAGTGAGGGCTGCAGGTGTGCACCACCACACCCAGCTAATTTTTTTTTTCCTTGGTAGATACGGAGTCTCCCTATGTTGCCCAGGCTAATCTCTAACTCCAGGGCTCAAGCTATCCTCCTGCCTCAGCCTCCCAAAGTTCAGGAATTAGAGATGTGAGCCGCCATACTTGGGCTCTCTGTATTGTTTCTTTGAACTGCATATGAATCTACTAATATCTCAAAATAATAAGTTTAATTTAACAACGTAATATTTCATAGAAAAATATGGGTTTCTGAGTTCTTTTGAACTCAGAACATTGGGCCCACCTTCCCACAGGGCAATCAACCACTGGAGCTGATGGTGGCTACCCTCTTTAGACAGTAGGACGAGAACTCCCTGTTTGCCAGAGCACTTGCCTCTCCCTGTTGTCTCAGACCCAGTCTTTTAACACAATTATTGTTTCTGGCCTGCCCCTAAAGACACTGGAGTTTGACAACTTTTCTTTTGACCCTTTGTTTTCTTGCTTGAGAAAAGAAAATTGTAGAGGCCAGGCACAGTGGCTCATGCCTGTAATCCCAGCAATTTGGGATGCCGAGGAGGGTGGATCACCTGAAGTCAGGAGTTCGAGACCAGCCTGGCCAACATGGTGAAACCCCGTCTCTACTAAAAATACAAAAATCTGGCCGGGCGCGGTGGCTCAAGCCTGTAATCCCAGCACTTTGGGAGGCCGAGACGGGCGGATCACAAGGTCAGGAGATCGAGACCATCCTGGCTAACGCAGTGAAACCCCGTCTCTACTAAAAAATACAAAAAATAGCCGGGCGAGGTGGCGGGCGCCTGTAGTCCCAGCTACTCGGGAGGCTGAGGCAGGAGAATGGCGTGAACCCGGGAGGCGGAGCTTGCAGTGAGCTGAGATCTGGCCACTGCACTCCAGCCCGGGCGACAGCGCGAGACTCCCTCTCAAAAAAAAAAAAAAAAAAAAAAATACAAAAATCAGCTGGGCATGTTGGTAGGCCCCTGTAATCCCAGCTACTCAGGAGGCTGAGGCAGGAGAATCGTTTGAACCCGGCGGGAGATGGAGATTGTGCCACTTCACTCCAGCCTCGGTGACACAGAGAGACTCTGTCCAAAAAAAAAGAAAAAGTGTAGGGAAGAAAAAGGCAGAGGGAAAATGAATTACAGTAGGAGAGTTTTTAGATCCAATTTTCTCATTCAAGGAACTCAATGTCATTAATCCAAACTTTCCAGTTTGTGTGAGATAAATGGGAAAGTGTCTTCCTGATTTTGTTCACCAAGGCATTAAGTTAAAACTTTCAAACTTAAAATAGATAATGAAAAATTTGAATAGGTTGTAATATTTCAGCCGATGCACAATTAAGCAGTTAAAGTCCATTCTTCAATTGTGAAAATCTTGTTTAACATGAGAATGACCACTTACGTTTAATCTGCCCAACACTGATAGATTTCAAAATCATTTTTTAATGGCCATAGCTTTATTTGGGGAAGCAGCATGGAAAAGTTTTATTTTAACTTCTGCTAAATCCATGTAAGTTGATGGACACAACCTAGGAAAAATGTGCCAACCTCTCTTAGGTCAGTTTTAGAAGACAGAATAAAAAGTAAAGCCAGGCCTGGTGGCTCATGCCTGTAATGGTGGCTCATATTTGTAATCTCAGCGCTTTGGGAAGCCAAAGAAGGAGAATTGCTTGAGTCCAGGAGTACAAAACCAGTCTGGGCAACATAGCCAGACCCCATCTCTACAAAACCCAAACATTAAAAAATTAGCCAGGTGTGGTGGTACATGCCTGTAGTCCAAGCTACTTGGAAGGCTTTGTGGCAGGAGGATTGCTATGGAAGGCTGTGTGGCAGGAGGATCTCTATGGAAGGCTGTGTGGCAGGAGGATCTCTATGGAAGGCTGTGTGGCAGGAGGATCTCTATGGAAGGCTGTGTGGCAGGAGGATCTCTATGGAAGGCTGTGTGGCAGGAGGATCACTTGAATCCAGGTGTTTGAGGCTGCAGTGAGCTATGATCATGCTACTGCATTCCAGCCTGGGTGACAGAGCAAGACCACGTCTTTAAAAATAATAATAAATAATAAGTAGAATTAGCGTTTCTGGCTTTAACTAGAGCTAGCCTTAATTGTAAGAGAATTCCAATGAAATGAAAAATGGCTGCATAGATCCATAAATGCTTGCACGCATCTACGCAGAAGCTGTCTTGGCTTGCTCCTTCCTGGGTGAAGATGAGACGCTGTAAGAAGAACCTAGTCAAGGTCAGCCAAGAGCACCACGTATCTCGAGAGAGAAGCTTCCTGACACCCACCTGGTTGTCCAAGGTGCTGTTCTCATTGCCCATGGTGATTCAGGGTACCCAGCGTCCCCAGAATTTTGTCAGAGGTGACTGGAAGAAACAAAAGGGTATAAACATCTGTGAAATGAAAAAAGATCTGAGGTTTTTTCTGTCTGCTCATCTCCCCAAACTCAAAAGCCAGATGATGGGAAATGTTTATCTCTACAGTCACATCATGGAAAATTACTTTTGAAGGGTTTTCTTTCGCGATCTGCCACCCAGGTTTCTTTCCCAATACGGGCTGATGTTTTCATTCCCCACCCCGGGGCTGGCAGACACTTCTGAAAAACGGGTTTGTTACTGAGACTCTGAGCTAGTGCCAGTGTACACATATACGTATATATACAAACGGAGTGACAAAAGGGGTCCGTTTGCCAAAGAGCCTGAGGAATGCTGCTTGTCAGATTATTTTCTGTTTCTAATTGTGTTCAGTTTGGAAATTCAGAGTGTGGCTGGTTTCCCACTGTTGGTGACGGCAGAGCTCAGTGTCAGACATCAGGAGGCGTGAAATCCACTGCTCTCCAACAACATATGGTTTTTTTTTTTTTTACTCTAAACACTTGTTTCATCAAATCAGTTTCACTTCTGCACACACTTTTTATCAAGGCAGAATGGCTTTCTTGCTAAGGAAAATGGGTGATTGGGACCAGACGAGATCATGTAAGGCAGCATACTGCCAAGTCAACTAGAATCATTTCATGGGCTCACTTAGTGACATGGTTTATTAATGATCTTTTTTTTTCTTTCTCTTTTTCTTTTTCTTTTTTTGAGATGGAGTCTCACTCTGTCGCCCAGGTTGGAGTGCAGTGGCGCGATCTCGACTCACTGCAACCTCCGCCTTCTGGGTTCAAGCGATTTTCCTGCCTCAGCCTCCAGAGGATTACAGATGGATTACAGATGCCCGCCACCACGCCTGGCTAATTTTTGTATTTTTAGTAGAGACGGGGTTTCACCATCTTGGCCAGGCTGGTCTTGAACTCCTGACCTCATGATCCACCCGCCTCGGCCTCCCAAAGTGCTGGGATTACAGGTGTGAGCCACCACACCCGGCCTATTTAATGTTCATCGTAATTAGGGTGCTTCCCACACAATTCACGGAGAAGCCCAGTGCATTTACTGACCTCATCCAACTGAATTCCATATGATGCTATCATATATTCAGGCCTAGAGGTGTTACCTTCACTTTTTCCAGTTAGAAAAACTAAATTACAGAAAATCTTTAAGAATCATAGACTTTCAGAGCTGGACCCGTAGAGATGACCAGTTTAACCCAGTGGGGGAGCTCAGGCTGGAGAACGTAAGGAGCTTGCCAAAGACCCAGTTTGGGGAGGCCAAAAGTTGGAAATAAACCTCAAACTCCATCCTTCTAATTGAAGATTTCTTCATGGAAATACGGTTTTCATCATAGTATTTCCTCAGAGAGTTTAAAATTCACCCATTGACTTGCTTATTTATTTAAGCAACATTGATTGCGTAGTCACCCTGCACTATGTGTACTGAACCATCACTGGAAAAGAAAATGGTTCAAACAGGCCCAATTAAAATGCCTCCAAACTGAGAAAACTGTGATTGACGTCCCGACAGCAGTCAATTCTTTCACTCCTAACCCTTTAATCAAAAGGATATGACTCCTTAATCCTTTCTTGCCTTTTGCTGTAGACACACACACACATACACACACAATCACATGCTCAGAGAATGTAAAAATCTACATGCATTTAAAATTAATCACTTCCATTTATTTTTTACGTTCATTTGGAAGATGATCCCTCATTAGAAAATATTGAGTGTTAGAAGAATCATTGCCTTATCAATTATTAACTTCCTTGTATCTTCCAGGTTGAATCATAAGGTTGAATGTAATATTAATTTGTGACAATCATTAACCAAATTAAATACAATAACCTTATTAAAAATCAAGGCATCTGAACTAGGTTTTTAAACAAACAGACTAAAGAGACCGGCAAAACTCCTGGTGAGGTGTAAATTGTAAAACCACCGAGGGAAGCCTGGCTTCCTGGAATCCTCTTCTAGAGAACTCTGCAACCACCACCCTCTCGGGCTTTCCCAAGACAGAACCGAAGGTGCACACATCTCTGCCTCCTACTTACTTTTGGGGGTGTCTGGATTTGGAGGCTGCGGGCGCATGGAAATTCTGCCCTTCAGCAACTGGACTTTCTCCTCCTCCGTTCAGAATTGTGCGAGTTCTAAGCAGAACCCCTGACACACCCCAAGCAGTCGGGCAAACAGTGCGTCTCCGCCCTCGCACTGGTGCAAGCCGCTGCACTTCATACCTGGGCAGGAGCCGTGCAGAGCCGTCGCGATTAGACAAGCGTTCCTGCCCACGGGAAATCAGCGTTTCCCAGCCCGTCAGTTTCAGGGCCTTTCACACAGGGATTTTCCCCGTTATTACATCAGCAAGGCTCCTTTCAGAGAAGGCTTATCCAAACTAAAGCGGCCCCTGCCATCCGATTGGCCGCACCTGGCAGCTTAGAACTGTCCCTTGCAAGGAGCCTTCCGCCAGGAACCTCTCATTTCTCTCTTGCCCTTTATGCAGTAGGGCCGGGAACAAACCTTTCTTTCTAAAAATGAGACAACTGCTCCCAGGGCTTCCTGTTTGCACCTGGGCAAATTCCGCCGTAAATAATGTGGAAACACACATACAAAAAGAAAAAAAAAAAAAAACTTTGCAAAAATGTGATGACGCGGCAGTCTGGCACCTGTTTATGGAGTGTGCAGAATGTACTTACCCAGGCGTGGCTTGAGTTTCGGCAAGTGAGGTCATAAAAAGCAGCAGGCTTGCCCAGATCGCTGACAGGCAGACCTGCCGGCCCACCCTGGGTGGAGGAGGCCCTGTGGACCTCGGGTGGGGCAGAGAGTACCGACCCAAAGACCCTCCTGCCCCACAGCCTCCGGCCGCCCGCAGTTCCTCCAGTCATTGCCACTCAGCCATCCTGTGCATGCATGCAGCCAGTTTCTACTTTTGTGTAGGGCAGAAACTTTCAGGCAAATGGAAGCTCCTTACCCCTGCCACAAGGTAGGACCACTCCATGGAAACAAATTAGCATTTATTTCATCAAAGGCTTCCGGAGACCACGCATCTTACCAAGCTCAGAGGACCCTTAGGAGCTCCTTGGAGGTGGTGGAGGAAGCTAGTCGAGGAGGCGGAGCTCAGTACCCCGCTTCTGGATGGAACAGAGCAGAAGTGTGTATGTTTCACCAGATGAATGGATAAACAAGATGCCGTCTATCCATACAATGGAATATTCTTCAGACATGAAAAGGAATGCAGTCCTGACACATGCTACAACGAGGAGGAGCTCCAAAAGCCTCACCCGAAGTGAAAGAAGCCGGGCACAAAAGGTCACAGATTTTGCGATTCCATGGATAGGAAACAGCCAGAGTTAGGCAAATTCATAGAGACAGAAACCAGACGGGTTGCTGTCAGGGGCGGGGGGAAGGGGAAGTGTCGGCTTAATGGGCACAGGATTTTATTTTAGGGTGATGAAAATGTTTTGGAACTAAATAGAAGTGGTGGTTTCACAGCATTGTGATATACTAAATGCCACTGAATTATTCACTTTTAAATGGTTAATTTTATGTAAGGTGAATTTCACCCGAATTTTTACAAGTGTATATGTTTCATATATGGGGTTTCTGCATAAGACATTGCTTGAAAAAAGAATTTGCAGCCCTAAGAAAGAATGAGTTCATGTCCTTTGCAGCGATGATGAAGCTGGAAGCCATCATCCTCAGCAAACTAACACAGGAACAGAAAACCAAACACCGCATGTTCTCACTCATAAGTGGCAGTTGAACATTGAGAACACATGGACACAGAGAGGGGAACATCACACACCAGGGCCTGTTGGGGTTTGGGAGTGAGGAGAGGGAACTTGGAGGACGGGTCAATAGGTGCAGCAAACCACCATGGCATTCATATACCTAAGTAACAAACCTGCACGTTCTGCACAAGTATTCCTTTTTTTTTTTTTTTTTTTTAAGAAGAAAGAAAGAAAGAAAAAAAAATGAGTTCTAGTTTTACGTTAAAAAAAAAAAAAAGAATTCCACTACTAGGTTAAAAAAAATGTTTGGGCCGGGCGTGGTGGCTCACTCCTGTAATCCCAGCACTTTGGGAGGCCGAGGTGGGCGGATCACGAGGTCAGGAGATCGAGACTACCCTGGCTAACCCGGTGAAACCCCGTCTTTACTAAAGATACAAAAATTAGCCGGGCGAAGTGGCGGGCGCCTGTAGTGCCAGCAACTCCGGAGGCTGAGGCAGGAGAATGGCGGGAACCCGAGAGGCGGAGCTTGTAGTGAGACAAGATCGCGCCGCTGCGCTCCAGCCTGGGCGACAGAGCAAGACTCCGTCTCAAAAAAAAAAAAAAAAAAAATGTTTGGAGGGATGAGAGACAAGACTGTTTGCCTCTTCCCCCTCAAAGAACTACAGAAGAATTTTTCTTTTTCTTTTTTTGAGATAGTTTCACTCTGTCACTCAGACTGGACGAAGTGCAGTGGCGCGATCTCGGCTCACTGAAACCTCTGCCTCTAGGATTCAAGCCATAATATGCCACCATGCCTGGTCACAGAATAATTTTTCTAAGAAGGAGAATCTTATTAAGCAAAACGTTTTGAATGAGCCAATTGGGAATGGCGGCAAGTCTTCAACAGGTGGCAAATCACAGGGAAAGCCCTGGTAAAGGGAGGAAAAGAACTAGGGGCTACTCCTGAGGACTGGGCGGGAGGGAGGGAGAGAGGATGCCTCACCAAAATGGCGGCGGCACAGGGGACTTCGCAGGGCGGATCTGTGCAATCTTCTATCTTCAGCTGTGGGCGCTGCTGTGACGTAAAATCCATAAAGCACCCTCCAGAAACCACTTTCCGGAAACCACCCTCCAGAAACTGTCAACTTTGTGGCCCACACATGCCTGGGGTGACTGGGGCTTCTGTGAGAGTGTGAATGCTCTGAGCAGAGAAGAGAGCCTGCTCTGCTCAGCTCCACCACAGATTCGGCGGCTTCAGTAACAGTTACTGTCTCATCATCCTGGAGGCTGCAGGTTCCAGATCAAGGTGTTGGCCAGGTTGGTGTCTTCTGTGCCCTTTTTTTGGCTTGTGGAGGGCAGTCTTCTCCCCAGGTCTTCACATGGTCTTCCCTCTGTGTCCCTCTATGTCCTAAGCTTTTTTGTTTTTGAGAGGGAGCCTTGCTCTGTCGCCCAGGCTGGAGTGCAGTGGTGAGATCTCGGTTCACTGCAAACTCCGCCTCCCGGATTCACGCCATTCTCCTGCCTCAGCCTCCAGAGTAGCTGGGACTACAGGTGCCCGCCACCACGCCTGGCTAATTTTTTTGTATTTTTATCAGAGACGGGGTTGCACCGTGTTAGCCAGGATGGTCTCGATCTCCTGACCTCGTGATCCGCCCGCCTCGGCCTCCCAAAGTGCTGGGATTACAGGTGTGAGTCACCGCGCCCCACCTCCTACTCTCTTCTAAGGACAACAGTCATGTTGGATCTGGCGCCCCCATAGGGCTTCATTTTACCTTAATTACCTCTTGAAAGGTCTTATCTCCAAAGGCAATCATATTCTAAGGTACTAGGGTTAGGATTTCAACATATGAATTTCGTGGGGACACAAACCAATTAAGCATCTTATAGAAGAAACTTGGAGTCAGAAGAAGCTGGGGGAAATGTAAAGCTGAGGCATTTAGACATGTCTTTGGGAAGGCAATGACACCACCCCACAGTGCTCAGAATGGGGCAGTTTAAGCCAATTTAACTACAGCTTCAGACCACAGAGGTGAGAAAGGCCTCAGGTGTGCAGGGACCGACTTTTTTTTTTTTTTTTTTTTTTTGAGACAGTCTCATTCTGTCGCCCAGGCTGGAGTACAGTGGTGTGATCTCAGCTCACTGCAACCTCAGTCTCCCGGGTTCAAGAGATTCTTCTGTCTCAGCCTCCCAAGGAGCTGGGACTACAGGCGCGTGCCACCATGCCTGGCTAATTTTTGTATTTTTAGTAGAGACGGGGTTTCACCATGTTGGCCAGGCTGGTCTCAAACTCCTGACTTCAGCTGATCCGCCCGCCTCAACCTTCCAAAGTGCTAGGATTACAGGCGTGAAACACGGTGCCCAGCCTAATTCACTTCTTACTAATGCATTTCATAAACACTGAGTTTTTTGTTTCTTTGTTTATTTGTTTGTTTGAGACGGAGTCTCACTCTGTCGCCCAGGCTGGAGTGCAGTGGCATGATCTGGGCTCACTGCAACCTCTGCTTCCTGGGTTCAAGTGATTCTCCTGCCTCAGCTTCCTGAGTAGCTGGGACTATGGGTGCGTGCCACCACACACAGCTTATTTTTGTATTTTTAGTAGAGACGGGGTTTCACCACATTGGGCAGGCTGGTCTCGACCTTCTGACCTCAGGCCATCCCCCCACCTTGGCCTCCTAAAGTGAGTGCTGGATTACAAGCATGAGCCACCGTGCCCGGCCAACGTTGAGTTTTTGTTTTTGTTTTTTTAATGTGCCAAGCTCTGTTAGATGCTCATGTCCTCTTTTATGCTTAGGGCAAAGCTATGAGATATGTTTTGTCCTCTTTTTTGTTTTTTTAATAGCAGATGAACTGCCAAAGCCCGTAAATGCACATAAGTGGTTTGGCCAAAGTCCACCAGAGAGCAGGAGGAAGGATGGAGATCCTGCATTCAATGCACAATGTGATGCTACCACCTTGGGAAGATTTTTGCAAAGAATTCAAAGGTAACTTCCTGTCTTTATCTCTTGTTTATTTAGTTCTGTAACAGAGCATGGTTTTTCTAGTTGTTGGCAACTAAAGCTGATTTGGAATCAGCTCATGTGATCCCCCTCCTTGATCAGGGAGGAGAGTGGAAAGTGCAGGTTTGGGCCAGGTGACTAATCACTGTGGCTGAGGCAGCCTAGCAGAAATGGGTAGCCAGAACCATGGCCAAGATGGCCAAGAGCATAACTGGGGACTTGGGCCCTATGCGCGGGCCTGCAAGAGAAGGGGAAATGGAAACATGAGAAGCAACACAGCAGCAAGACTGCAGAAGCCACCATGGGCGGAGCGGGTGGAAGACATTACTAGGGACTGTGAAGTCTAGGCCAGGCTGATGCCCCATTTTATACACTGCACATGGGGTGGAGAGGGGCAGGGAGCTGAAGAATCGGAGACAAGATCACACAGGTCTTGGCCGGGCACAGTGGCTCATGTCTGTAATCCCAGCACTTTAGGAGGCTGAGGTGGGTGGATCGCCTGAGGTCAGGAGTTCGAGACCAGCCTGGCCAACATAGTGAAACGCCGTCCCTACTAAAAACACAAAAAATTAGCTGGGCGTGGTGGCAGGCGCCTGTAATCCCAGCTACTCCGGAGGCTGAGGCAGGAGAATCGCTTGAACCCGCTAGGCAGAGGTT